GCCCTCCAGCACCGATCCTCTCAAGCCCGATCTCGACCATGGCTCTGTGGAACAGGTGGAAGATATAGCCATTGACGATACAGAATATCCCATCTTGCCCCGGGAAACCGCGAAAGAGGCCCTGCCCTTTATCGAAGCAAGTGAAGTGAGGAAAAGGGATGGGAAAAAAGACTCCAGGTTATGTGTGTATTCCATGCCTTTTGTCTGAATACTGAAGTCAGACCTGGTTGTTGACGTATAGCACTGCTCGACTATATCAGGGATCGTGATCGACGACATCGTGTACGACTGCTCGTTATTCGTTCATGAGCACCCTGGAGGGGAGATGCCGATCAGAAGCTTCGCTGGCAAAGAATGTTCTTGTCTGTAAATATGTCACTGTCTTCTATGACTCTCGCTGACTATTTGTAGGGCAATTTCATAAAATACACAATTCGCGGTATTTGAAGGCGTACGCAGAGGCGTTTAGAGTTGGACGGACAAAGGGACTTGAGAATCCGTATAGAGAGCCACAGCCCAAGGTTAACACACCTCTTAGATTTGGTGCAAATGAATGGTAGTATCGATAGCATCTACATAGACACTACTAGCTGTCAATATCACAGAGATAGAATATAGATATATGCCAGAATGGAATGGCAAATGGACGGTGTGTTGATACCCGCCTTGAATCATCTGGTCGGTCATTGATCGGTTACAGACTTCAAAACAGTTGCAACTCTTAAAAGCTGAAGACCGATAACGAGTATGATTGAAAACTACGGAAAATAGTAGCAAAAGGTATTAAGCTGGACTTAAAAACTCAGACAATAACAACGACAGAAAGTCCAGAAATGCCAGCTAAAATGGTGATCCGAAAAGAGAACGCCATTTTCACCTAATGAAGTCTGTGGTGCAAGACGAGCAAATTTTCGTTGTTGTGATGTCAGATGCAAAACGAAAAAAAAAAAGCATTCAAAGAGAACGATTCATATAAAGATATACGGTTGTAACTGATGCCGCTATTCGTTACAATCCGTATCTGATTCGGTCACGTTCTTGATATTGACGCGGAATTCGCTGGCAGCGATCGATCTCGAGAACGGGTTTCAAAGTCCCAGCAAGCCAGCGATAGTGCTCAGGAATTGACTAACTATTTGCAAAGATTGGGCTGCTGACGACGGGCTAGGAGTCGCACTGGTAGACGTGCTGGAGCTGGCCGCTGAAATGGCGCTCAACAGCTCATCCAGAGTAGGAGTCGGAATCGGAGTCGGAGTCGGTGTCGGGACCGGCGTTCCCTTAAAGGACTTGCTCTAATGGCATCATGTGTTAGCCAGGTAAGAAGAAAGGAAAGATGCAATCCCAAATTAAACGCGATTCTCATGTTGAGACTCCTTCCGTCAGAGATTATTAGCACTGATGGCGATGACTTACCCCTGGCAGCGCAGTGACAGAAACAAGTAACATGGCGAAAACGGCAACAAGAAGTGCCGAGAAGAACTTGAATGAGAACATCCTGCTAATTTGCTCCTAGTTTGTTTTTTGGAGACAAATGTCAATACAGTTTTGGGACCAGGCGTTGGAGGACGTCAGTATATGGTGAGGAAATGGCGCTACTTTCACGCGCGTCGACCGGGATCGGGCTGGTGTTTATATCCTCCATGTGTATCCACCTTATTTTAGTTGAAATGTACCAATTTGATTTTAAAAAGTGAGAATCAATGTTATGATATTCTATAGAGTGCGCTGTTGGCATGGAATGTGGACCAACGCCGGTGGTAGGCATCGGTCCAGAACATCATAACTAGCCGAACGATTGATTCTTCACCTGTCAGCGTCGCAGTTTATCAATGGAATGCGCCACGTCCTGTGTCATTTTTTTTTTCACCCCATCCGTTCCGTTCTGTTGGCACAGCTGGATGGCCACCCATAGCAATGGATGGAAAGTCCTCGAAGGTAATCGATAGAATATTCCTGCCAACTTTCAGTCATGCAAGTACAGGTTCTTCAAGCCGAGAGCCGAGCCAGCTGTCATATCTGTCAATGTCACGGTTGAGGCAACACAAATTGGCTCAATCGTATTGGCAGCACTCTCACTCATAAGCTAGAGAAGAGAAGAAAATTACCGAGACGAAATATTCACCATGTTGAAGTGACTCAGTCCTTCCTAATTAGGATGACTTCACGTGAGTAAACCACGTGATAAACCACGTTAAAAGATTTAGGGTGCTTTATCTTTTTAAAAAAAATAAAAATAAAAAATAAAAATAAAAAAAGATGTTTAGTGCATTTTCAGGAATTTTTATGGACTTGGCGATCAAGCAGTTTCCAAAATAAAATGCTGTTGATGTAGACGAGCTCATCCGAAAAGATACCTAGGTAGCAACCTGTAGCACAGTGTGTTAGGGTTAGAGTGCCCGAGGCTGCAAATAGCTGGAGGTGGCCAAAAGTTTCTTGCCGGTGATCTCGACTACGAAAAGGCGTAAAGCTGCTGTTGCGAGGTTTGGTCGATATCCGCATATTGTCGGCAAAAATTGTGGAATACGATGATTTTCTACGAATCAGGACTTGTAGTGACAAGACAGAAAGAAAATGATTCGAGAAGATCAAATCCTAGGGATCGGCAGCTCGACAGGATTCCATCCGGCATTTCGGATATCAGTCTCAAACAACCGCAGCATCTATCAACAAATGGCAAGATGGCCGAGCGGTCCAAGGCGCCAGGTTAAGGTCAAGCCTTAACAGCAACTCGCAAGAGTTCCTGGTCTTCGAAAGGGGGCGTGGGTTCGAATCCCACTCTTGTCATCTGATTCTTTTTTGCGCCGCGATTGTGCGTATCCGTGGAAACTTTTTTTTGAGTGTTGCATGCTTGCCAAGAAACCGGGCTCTCTGATCCAATCATGATCTCTGAGAGGGGGTGTGGGGGTCGAATTTCCGCTCTTGGTATGACTTTTTTGCCTGGCGGCTGTTAGGCGTTGCAGTTTTGAGTTTAGAGTTGCGGGATGGAGTGGGGCGAATTTTGACTAACATCCTGGAACTTACGATCATTGGTGAGATACCAGAACATATACTCTGTATTTACCCCGGAATCGTGACACGTGAACAGCTTATCTAAGCTGTGACATCAGAGCGATGCCAAGCGAGACACCTGCGAGCTGAATCTGATTATCGATTTTTTTTGTTGTATTTTTAAATTTCGCATGTCCTGGTTAATAGTAATGAGGATGCAGTGGAATTGGTCAGGGTTAGAGTGGTGTGTCATTACGCTCAAATATCAGGAACTACTGTCTTATCAGCATGAGTTCGGAGAAGGACCACAATGATACAATTATCAAATGCATTTTACGAAGTAGACGTGAGAGTGAGTTGAGTCGCGTGAATTTGAGATAGACGACAATAGAGAGGCTCCTAGCTCTAAAATCTCCCCAGATCCTGCCTCGAAATCCCATTGTGTCCATTTCAACCTTTCTCTACTCCTTGTTACGCCCTGCAAGGTGTCAAGACGCGTAAACAGTTCGAATTCTATTCTTTCTGGTGCTTTTGACCCTCTTATGATCTGAAAAACCATGTCAGACCCTGGTGGAAAATCGTTTTCAAAACATGGCTCGCCCATTCCTTTCATATTGGTAAGCACTGCCTGGTGGAAGTGCCAATCAAGAAGTTCATCTGGTGGTCTGCTGAGGTTCGATATAAATGAAGTATCAATGTAGGTTCCCGCGACATTATCCATATCCAGGCGGACGCAGATAATCTTGTAGCCGTGCTATAAACAAAATATCAGTCACTATGCTTTTGAAGGAAAATGGTTATATAAATGTCATATATACATTTAGAGAAATGGAGAATGCATAAGTGCCAAAAAGCGCGTGCATGTGGTCTCGAAGGAGAATTCCATTTTGAACGGAGTTAATATTGTCTCCATCCAGCCCTGGAACAGTGATATATTATTGAAGTTCAATTGATTCCAAAGCCCTGAATATGCTAGGGGAAAGATTTGAGCTGTCCAGAAACAATCCAAAACTCCAGATTCGATGTCTGCTTGGTGGTTCTGGACTTTCGTAACGTGTTCCTTTCGAACGTCATAGTCGAGGTGATAAAGAGTGTGAAATGTGCCTTTCCAGGTTTTGGAACGGCCGGGGTCAAGCGGCAGAATGAACTCGATAGGATAGATGTCTGCCCGGATGTTACCACCATGTGCAAGAGCGTTTTGATTGTGCCGATCGGATATTAGGCTCGAGCCTTGAAGTAAAACACGTAGGAGTACGCTCCTGCAAAGAGCAGCACCATCAATCCAATGACCAGAGTGGACGTGACTGTCCAAAACCCTGGGGTTCCAACTGCAATCTTTGATATTATGGCCCCCATTCTAATTCCATAAAAATATTTTTTTTTGAAGGAAAAGAAAACGTCTTTTATCCAAAAAAGTATTTGAACGTAAAAAGTCTTTTTTGGAGGTAAAAAAGGTGTTTTGACATTTGATGTTTAGCTGCATCCGCGATCGCGTTGACGTATATCCTTTATAAAGGCACGACGTTGCGTCGCAGATGACAATTTGGTTGCAGTGCGGGTTAGAGTATCTTCATTCGTAATGTTGATAGTCCTGTCTGAGATAATGTAATAATTTCCGGGCTGCACCGGGTTGTTGTCTCTCGGCACTTGCTGACTGCATTCGTCTCTCAAACACCAAGAATGCGGGGGACAGTCAACAGGGATCGCTGTCATGCCGTAGAGCAGTTGATTCACGACTCTTGTCACTTGAAGGCCTCAAATCTCCACTGGCGTTTCATTTTCGAAAATGCGTACATTTCGATGTGCTGCGCGAGCAAGAAGGCTTGGCCCAGTAGGAGCAGGACTCTCAGGAGGAGATGCCGCAGACGGAGCGGTTAAAGGAGCATGAGGACGCCCAAGATGGTTGGTTGTGGATGAGAGAATGTATACTGCTGAGTTCGACGTCGCCGCACAGGTGGGGGCTCTGCTGGTGGTGGTGGTGATTTATATGCGAGGAGGAGGCATCGACGCTGACAAGGTGAATTGGCCATTGGACGTCGAGTGAAGAAGAGCTGCAACCAATAATCAAGTTATATAACTGACGAAGACAGAGTGTGAATGTTGGTGATAGCTTTGGAGCCGTCCCACGGTAGCCTGTTGCACTACTGGAACCTAGGTACTACCTAGGTAGCTACAGCAGTCTTTCAATGAGGACGCAGTAGCTCTAATTAACAGAACTGTTCTTTCAAGGAATTTCGCTTCCCCAAGTTCAAGTCATGACAACCTCGAACAGGTACCTACTCTACAGGGCAGTAGGGTTGGTTACAGAATGGAGTGTATCCGGAATCAAGCGTATTCCTCCGCTGGCCATGTAGGGAGCACGGATAGATGCTATGAGTGATAATAAGCTTGCTCTTACTATAATAACAATGGTCGATATAATTTTCATCCGTCTACAGATATTGAGGTCAGGGAAGGCAGTTCAAGCGAGATCTCGAACGATCAATCCCAAGCTAGGTAAGAAATTGGAATAGATTGGGGATCGCGCAGCCGGTGTATTATAGTAGCGAGCAGGATATCCGGTGATATACTGGATGTACACCTGTGCTTTATTGCGTAGGGGCAGGGCATCCTATCGCTCGAGGGAAGGGGCATCACATGACATGCCCTCTTCCATGCTCGCTGCGACTTCATCGACAGCTACAAATTAGCCACGCTTTCCTTTTTGCCAACCACGTTTTCGAATTCTGCCCTCTCGACCATCCCCAACAGTGCTTCCGCAACGCCATAGCTGAATGCGTACCCTCCCCCTCCAAATCCATATGCGGAGAGAACAGTCCGCGATCCGATGCGTTGCGAATCCAGGCGGAATCCTCCCTGCCGACTGGGACGAATGCCGATGATGTAGCTGAGGTCGGACTCCTTAGGCTCAGCAGGGATGATTTCTGGCGCAAGACGGTGTGCCCGTCTGATCTCATCCCGGACAATCTCCATGTCGACGTCCGGCGAGCTTGTTTGTCAGCATTTCTCTGTGCCTATATGATTCGTTTGACAGTGATGAACGTACAAATTCTCGCCTTGGTTGACTCCCCCCAGAACCACACCATGGGACATGGGTCTAGGAATTATGTACGTATATTCCTTTCCATTGCGGAAGTACATGGTGTTGTTATTGGGCGTCTTGAAAAAGACATTCTGGCCTCGGTTCGGATAGCATTTTTCATCCCGAACGTCTGTCAGCAACTTGCTGCCCCAACCGCTGGCGTTGATGAAGATGTTGGATTCCGGGAACATGGCGTAAAGCTCCTGAAGAGACGATACTTTATGTCGCACAAACTTGCCACCGAGTTCGGTAATCTTCTTCCCTATCCACGGCAGATGAATCGTGGGGTCCACGACGAGACAGTCATACGCCCATCCGGTGTGGAAATTCGAGGGATACTCCCCTGGCTCCAGGACGCGAAACTGTCAAGTGTAGGTTAGTAAGTACGACTTCTCCGTATGGACGTCCCTACAAGCCACTCACATTGCTCACCACAGACTTTCCCCATATCGCAGAATTCGGAGCCGGAGCCTCCTCCAGATATTCTCGCGCATTGACGATACAAACGCCAGATTCTGGCTCCTCCTTTGCCAGTTTCAGTAAATGCCGATGGCTCACCACCTGCAGGTACTTGTGCTCATCGGTCAAACCGCCAGCTGCATGCCATGCGGCCCCTGCCCATGCCGAGGCGTAGAAAATGCTTTTGTCTCCCGGCAGGTACTCTGCTACAAGAATGACCGAAAAGCCGTTCTGAAGGAGCTGCAGAGCGGCAGCACAACCAATGATTCCAGCTCCTAGAATAATGATCGGGCGCCTGGAAAATGGTGTTCCAGAGCTTTTCGGGGTATTTCCGTTTCGCAGATCTGCAGCCATCGCGCCCCACGCTATATATACACACTCAGAAAAGCGACTGCTTTGACAAAGAAAAAAAAAGCGAGAAAGTGCAATTATCTGGGGAGCTTTGGGAAGAAATACAGACGGACCCGTCGGTATCCCGAGTCGCATAAACTTGTTCCGATATCTATGGGTCCATCTGTTTAGACTACACCGGCGTTTGGTCCGGCGCGATAACGAACCAACTTTACTGAAATGATGCAACAGAGATGAGGGGTAATATTACCAACTTCCCTTTTCAGAAGTTACATGGAGATACCATTGCCTTACTATTGATAACAGACCGACCTGCCCCTACTTCGGCATGATGTGTCCAAAACTGGGTCAAATGACGTTACGCCGGCACTATAAGTACTCATGGCGCCTGGCTGTTTATCTGTTCCTCATTATCTGAGACTTCTGACGGAAGAATGTCTTCCGAGGAGAATATCACTCCTCTGTCGGCAGAAGTTCACCGGCAGAAGGATTCTAAAGTACGTGTCTTTGTTCTGTTTCCAATTGCAGTCTGACTTACCAACCTCAGGAAGCCGGATCCGACGATGTCGTTCAGAATGGCGAGGTGGACGTCATTGACGACAATGGGGCGCGCAAGATTCTGCCATACGAGGCTGATGATTCCCCTTTCCCGGAAGTACGCGCGGTCGTCTCTCCGGTCGATGACCCCTCATTGCCGGTCAATACTGTGCGAATGTGGGTCATCGGTATAATCTTCACTACCGTAAGTTGCTCGTTAATTTTCCCCTGGTCTGTTGGCTGACGGTGTTGATCAGGTCGGCAGCGGATTGAACCAACTGTTCAGTTTGCGCCAGCCCAGTGTCACGATCAGCTCGCTCGTCGCGCAGTTGCTGGCGTATCCTGTCGGCGTCGCCTGGGCCAAGTATGTGCCTCTTGGGATGTTTAATCCCAATAGAGAATTCAACATCAAAGAGCATGCCTTGATCACGATCATGGCAAATGTGTCCTTTGGGTCCGCAGAGGCTACGCAGGTCATTCAGGCGACTATGAAGTTCTACAACCTCGGGCCTCAGGCCGGCTACGGAGTCCTTTTTGTCCTTACAAGCCAGCTCTTTGGATTTGGGCTCGCTGGGCTGTTCTATCGGTGGCTGGTGCTACCTGCGACAATGATCTGGCCTAGCGTTTTGTCAAATGCGGCGCTCCTGACAACCTTGCATTCCCGAGTCAATGCTATCGCCGACGGCTGGACTGTTTCTCGACTCCGCTTCTTCCTGTATATCTTCATTGGAGGATTTGTCTGGTATTTTCTTCCAGGATTTCTGTTCACTGGTCTCAGTACATTCAGCTTCATTTGCTGGATCGTACCGAACAACGTAGTGGTCAATCAGCTGTTCGGGCAGGTGTCTGGCCTGGGAATGTCGATGTTGACGTGTGATTGGAGTCAGGTTGGTTCGGAATTGAAAAGTTTCTTGCTGTGAATTTCTGCTAACAGCCATAAAGATAGTCTATGCCAACCAGAGCCCTCTGTTGACACCGTTCTGGGCGGGACTGAACGTGATGGGAGGTTTTGCCCTGTTCTTCTGGCTGATATGCCCTCTGATATACTATACCAACACCTGGTACTCTGCATACCTCCCGTTAATAAACTCGAACACTTTCGACAATACAGGCAAGGTGTACAACACAAGCCGAATCATGAATGCGGATGGCACGGTGAACGTGGAGGCGTACCGCGAATACTCGCCCATGTTCCTCCCGGCAGCCTATGCTCTGACCTACGGCGTCTCGTTTGCAAACTTGACTGGAATCTTCGTGCACATCGCTCTCTACCACGGAAAGGACCTGTGGCGGATCTGGAAGGGATCGGGGAAGAAAGATATCCATGCCCGCTTGAATGCAGCCTACCGTGACGTGCCATGGTGGTGGTTCGCCAGCGTGACGGTTCTGATGTTGGTAGTGAGCATCGTCATCAACGAAGTCTGGCACACAGACCTTCCGGTGTGGGCAGTGTTCGTGGCTTACATCCTGCCACTGATCTATTTCCTCCCCGTGGGCGTGATAAAGGCCATCAGCAATATCACTTCCAACCAGCTGAATCTCATCACGGAATTCATCGGGGGCTACGCGTTTATGGGGAAGCCTATCGCCAACATGGCATTCAAATTCTACGGCTTTGTTGGCGTATACCAAGGAATAGAGTAAGTTTGTCATTCATGTCATGGGCATTGCTTCAAACGAACTGACTGAACTGCGCCAGGTTTGTCGCAGATATGAAGCTCGCCCACTATCTTCACATTGCACCTCGAACTCTGTTCTTTGCCCAGGGGATCGCAACGGTGGTGGGCGCTCTAGTGCAGGCGGGCGTGACTATATACATCCTTACCAATGTCGACGGGGTGTGCTCGACGAATGCGCCAAACGGCTACACGTGCCCCCACGGTCGTGTCACCTATTCCTCGTCTCTAATCTGGGGTAGGATCCTCGATAGCCATTTTCATCTAAACTGTCCTTCGTCTAACCGGGTCTTCAGGCGCATTGGGTCCGAGTAGAAGTTATTCGCCGGGTCAGCTGTACGGGAATCTCCTCTGGTTCTTCCTCGTTGGTCCAGCCGCGGTTCTCATCACCTATTTCCTGTCGCGACGATGGACGGTCTTTCGGTATGTGTCGTGGCCTGTGATTTTCGGCGGCATGGGTCTTGTTCCTCCGGCTACGGGGGTCAACTTTTCGTCATGGTGGGTCGTTAATGTCATCTTCAACGGTCTGATCAAGCGACGCAAGCCAGCGTGGTGGGCTAAATATAGTAAGTCATATCCATTTTTTAGTTTCTTCGTTCTGTTTCAGAGTTTCTCCATCAGAAGTATAGCAACATTTGCTGATATTCTGCTGCGCAGACTATGTTCTCTCTGCCGCGCTCGACAGCGGAGTGGCCGTCTCGACGCTCATCATCTTCTTCTGCATTGTTCTCCCTGGCGCCACTCTCACGTGGTGGGGGAATACGGTGTATCAGAAAACGGCCGATGGCATGGCCACGCCCTGGAAACAGGTGCCTCAACCACAGGGCTATTTCGGACCTCCGAAAGGGTCCTGGAGTTGAAAGCATAGACCGGAGTTAGTCATAAGACGAATTATACGATTAGGACAGAAATAGATATATTAATATTACATATTCAAGGCAATTCATATTACTAGGAAGGAAGCATAAATATCTTTTCGATCTACGATTGGTAATATTCAAAAGAAAAATCACTAGACTATATCTCCTGGAAATAAGAAGAAGGAAACAAGTCCGGCCTTATAGCTGCAGTCACAAACTGAACCGGAATCGGGGATCATCATCACCCATATTCCCCAAAACGCATTCATCGAGCTGCAGGCGATAATCTCGCCTGCCCTGTGCTCGCTTCTTATTTTCGACCATCAATCCCACAGCTAGAACGGTGGACATCAGACCACAAAAGAGCATCATCGCTAGCGACACGCCATAGCCGACGGAGTATCGAGGAGCCTCCGCTTGCACGAAGATATTGCTGGCGATGATTCCTCCCATATTCCCTACGCCAACCTGGATGGCCAGTCCGATGGCCCTCTTGTAGTGTCCGCCCAGGTTGTTGGCCATCCAGACGATCGCCACCGGCTGGACGATGTAGCAGCCGGCTGTCACGAAGAAGACTGCCATGTAGCGGACATGCGGATCCAGACCGCCATGAGGGGGTCCTTGACACAGCAGGATGACGTATCCGATGCTCGCGAAGACGACGCCAAACATCATGAACCCGTAGCGGTGCTGCAGACGATCCGTCAGCATCGACACGGCCAGCGTGACCACCGACGCGACGACCCAGATGGGGATGCTGTGGACCTGGCTTTGCACGCCCGAGTACCCAAGCGATGCGACGATCGTGGGGACGAAGAGGGAGGTCGCGTAGCCGGACACCGTCACTCCGATATAGACCATGCTGACTACGAGGATCTTCCAGTCTGTCAGGATACGTTTCCACGCAGGGATATCGAGGCGGTCCATTCGTGCGCCACCGCCGATGTCCCGGGAGTGACGGTCCTGCAACGCCGTCTTCTCTTCGACAGACAAGAATCTAGCCTGTTCCGGCCAGTCAGCAATGAGTAGCTTGGCAGGCAGAGAAACTGCAATCGAGAGGAGGCCCTCGATGATGAAAATCCAGCGCCAGCCCGAATACCCGCTAATTTCATTCATATGGAACAAGGCGTATGCGAGGAGACCGCCAAAAGCTCCCGCCACGAGACCAGCGACCCAGAAAAGGGAGAAGCGCTGCTGGAACTCGTGGCGGCGGTAGTACATGGACATGAGATAGGCGCATCCGGGGACAAAGCCGGCCTCGAAGATGCCGAGGAAGAAGCGACAGGCGATGAGGCCGCCGTTGGACTTGACGAAGCCTTGACACATGCAGGCGACGCATACAAAAGCAATGTAATTGTCAAAAAATATCTTGGGGGTCAGTCTGTGCAACTTACCCCACAAAAACGTCAAACCGCTAATCCAGGTCGACGGGGCAATTTGCCTGAGGATGATATTGCTTGGAATATCCAGCAGGATGTACGGGACGAAGAAGATCTGCAAGGCGATATTGAGGGCATTGCCTTGGAGATGCAGCTCGTTGACGATGCCCAGGACGGCGACGTTGCCCAGGTTGATGCGGTCTAGAAGCCAAACGCGAAGATGATCCACAGGGGCGCCATCAGATGGAAATCGATCTTGCGGAGAAGTCGCTTCTCCAGAGCGGAGTTTGCATGTGAATGGGTTCGCTCTGGGTCATTTTGGTCTGTACTAAGCACTTGTTCGGGGGGTTTCTCTGATGGTTCGAGAGTCATGATGCAGAGGAAAGGAATAGTTGATACACAAGTATTTTTCAACAAAAAAAAAGGAATCTGACAAAGTCAGCGAGATACCAGGTATCTGTAAATAATGTCCAAGCAGCAATAGAAACTGCGTTGGCGCTTAATATATATGAACCTTAGATAAGGCTAGCAGGTCGACTGCTCGCCCTGTCTAGACCATGGAAATTGACCTGCTGCAACATTCTACTTGTACGCTGCCTGCCAAGATATTGCTGGTTGCCAGCATGCAATGCAACGCTGTTCGTCAATCGAATCGAAGTCACTAGCGGCTATTACTTCCACGCGAAGTGGCTAATGGGGAGAGAGATGGCGGGCAGGGGAGTGAGCTAGTTCTGGGGTAATTAATTGATGAATAGTTCTTGTTCTCGCATTAACAATCCTTGTTATGCCATCACTGGTTTTATCTATCTAGAAAAGAAATATGCTGGCTTTAAGGCAAAAAGAAGATAATTAATGTCTTTAACTCATTAGTAAGTGCTAGTATGTGTATTCACTTAGCCTAAACAAAGGAAACCCTCTCCAATTTTGCAAAAAGCCAAATTCATGCCTATTCTGATCACTTTTACTTTTAGTCATTTCACCGGGTTGCTATTCTGCATCTTAGCAAAAGGAAGAAAACGGGAAAAAAAAAAGATTCCGGTGTCATAGGACCTGCAGGGAAACTTCTCTCAGTATTATCTTCTCTCCGTTCAGACTTAAATTTCTTTTTTTTTTGTTAAAAAATTATCATTTCAGACAATAACTACAGAAGAGAGAGCTGGCAACTTTCCATAAAGCTAGTTCTATCTTTTAACGATCTACGTTGAATTGAACGTGAACCATAAGGAAATTTAATTGAAGCTAACGATAACTAATCCAGTGATTTAAGTACCATAAGCGATAAAGTCAAAAAAATATGTCTTGACTAGAGCTTGATATTGATACCGAGTGAGGTAATAGCATGAGTTACAGCAATTAATTAAATGCTGTGTTGTTGTTGTATGACAGTAAAGACTGCTATCAGCACATTACAAACGCTTTACCCACACGCGCATCCCTCCGCGTCCACCACGGTTCATGCGCAGAAAGAAAGGCACAAAAGTCAACTCCTTGGTCTCGTCGCCGTACTTCCACGGTTCAGAGCCATACAGGGACGACCATGGGGTATTGACAAGCTCCTTTCCTGGGGCCGTAATAGGGATGACATTGTCGACCGAAGCAATCTTTACAGCAGGGCCCTCCCTGATGGGCCTATCATCCACCAGGGCGATATTGTCGACGTCGACATCGTTATTGTCCACGTCCTCGATGCAGTACACCAGCGGCCCGCGCATGATGCAGATCTCGTCCTTGTTCGTCTTTGGATTGGTGTAGACCTTGCGCGCTTGCAGGGGGAACCGTAGCGAGATGGTTGTATCCTTCAATGAGGAAAAATAGAGATAGCCATCGCGAAGTTCGCCGTCTTTGACAGAGCAGTCGTATCTTCCGGCTGTCCATCCCGGAATACGGAGTGCCAGGTTGACAGGCTTCGACCCTTGAATTGCGATTTCGACCTCTCCCGACCAGGGCATATCCGTCTTTTGCGAGATGACAACATCTGTATTCGGCACCGCAAATTGGCTCTCGATCCAGAGGTGAATCGCAACCGTGTCCTCTTTGAAGGAATAAATCAGAGAACCAAGCAATCCAAGCAGCTTGGCAATGTTTGGCGGACAGCAGGCAACGTCAAACCAGGAACTGCGCTCCTTGGGACGACCGGTATACGTTCTCATTGGGTTTTGGTAGTAGAACGACTGGCCGTCGAGGCTGACCGCCCCCAAGAACCCATTGTAGAGCGTCACCTCCATAACGTCGGCGTACTCGCTCTTCAGGCTCAGTCTCAACAGCCTTGAGCACCATATGACCAGAGCAAAGGACGCGCAGGTTTCGGCGTAGCAGCCATTGCCCTCCTCTGTGTCAGCCAGGAAGTATTGCGGTCCAAAGCCCTCCCACTGTCTGATCGCTCCAAGACCGCCGGTGACATAGAGCTTTGTATCGATCGTGTCTCTCGACAGACGGTCCACGGCCGTCTGCACCTGTTGATCGCCCGTGAAACGGACGTAGTCGGTTGCGGCGGTGGTAAAGTACATCGCGCGAACCGCATGGCCCTTGATTTCCGACTGATTGAGGAGAGGCTCATGGGCCTGTTGATAGGTATAATCTCGCGGATGTTCGTAGCACGATCTCGTGTCTGTGTACGGATCGACTCCTCGCGCGCGTGCTTCATGGTCGTAGAAAATCTCTCCGTTTTCATCCTTCCGTCCGCGCTCGAGAATAAAGTACTTGGCTAGTTTTAAGAGTATAGGCTCCCCAGTTAGCTCGTACAGCCGGAGAAGACCGATTTCTATCTCCTGATGGCCCGGATAACCGCGCTTCTTGCCCTTCTCGGGCCCAAAGAGGGAGTCGACATGGCGAACCACCTTCATGACAGGATCGAGCAATCTTCCGCTGTGCGTCAATGCCTCGTACGCCACGCATGCTTCGATCAGGTGGCCGAGGCAGTACATCTCGTGCATGTCGCGGAGATTGGTCCATCGCTGGGCGATGCCATGCACGGTATAGTACGAATTAATGTAGCCGTCTGGATGCTGAGCAGCACGGATCATGTCCACAGCCTCCTCGACGTCGGCGCGGAGCCGGTCATCATCACGGATCATAAGTAGCACGCTGCCTCGATGGTCTTGTAGATATCCGAGTCCCAGAAGGGATGCGGCTTGACGTTGTGGCCAGGCGGCCATGTCAGGCAGTACCAATGACCCAGCGCCTTCTGACTGTTGATCAGGGCGGGGATGATCCTCTCGCGTGCGCAGGCGAGAATGGGTGACCAGAAAGAGGACGATATCGTAACATTGCGGAGGGGGGTCTGTTCAAACGCCATCATGAATGATGCTTGCAATGCGGGGAGGCAATCAGGAATTGTCCGATTGTGATATCATGCTATAAATAAATGTCTTATTGGTATCGCTTGCAGTTGCATCGATCAGCTGAACTCCGATGTTGGAATTAGCCGATAAATTCCTAGGAAGCTTGTCATGCGAGATTGCAGCAAATGATATCGCTGCCATGTGATAGCTGTTGCTAGACGCTTCAGCCGTAGAATAGAGACGCAACTTTGAAAGAAGGCAGGCTTGTAAATTTGAAAGAAATTCCATCTACCTAGTACTGTTAGAGAGAGTATATATAGTATTAGTTATCCACCAAGAATCGGAGGCCATAACCCAAAAACGACAAAGAGCTATTATACCTGGGCACGGGTTCGTTGGAAGCAAGGATCATGAGTCGGTTAATTATCCCATACGCGAGTTCAACAAAGAGATAAACAGCATCGATGACCTATCGACATAATGATAACCCATGTGCTCGATTGACTCTTCGTATTTGATCCTCTCTTCGGTTAAAAAGAAACCACCTTGGTATCAGTACTCAGGTCAGTAGCGAGCCTGTTTAGGGTAATTTCATTCAACTCCGTTTGTCCTGTTAAGGAAACTTTCCTCAAACGATAGTAGCAGGAATCTGCCCTAAAATGATAGCAAATGCGGAGTAGACGCAGTTCTGTGCCTAGCGACTGGTTAACCCCAGATCATTCTGCTGCGCCGGCGGTGACTTGGCACCAGCTTTGTATCGGTACACAGTACTACTCCAGAATAAGTCTGGAGGTACCTCGAGTCGTGCGGTATGTACAGTACAGTACATGTGACGGTGTGTATTTGAGTCTTAGTTGGTTTCTTAGTGAACGATGTGGTATGCTTTTGTTCAGGCAATGTTACTAGCGTCATATGCATTTGACAGTACATAGGTATATATATTTATCTACAAACAGCGATGTTTTCCTGTGGTCCAAATGTGTCGCCATTTCTTTTCAAGTATCAGTTCGATTCCTGTTCTTCAGACAAAGCGCCTTACACTTATCAAACTGTCAACTTGGGATAACGGACAAGCTCTCCCACTTAATCAGATCCAGTAGTCACCGCGTGACTAAATCAGCTGCAATGGAGAAAGATTCCAATACAGTCCATCTGGAAAAGCCCCCCTTGGATACATACGACAAGAACTGGGCACATGTCACCTCGGCCGGCCGCGAGGCCACCGCTCGCGAGCACGAGCTGAGCGTCGCGCAGGCGGTGAGAATGTACTACAAAGCGGTCATCTGGTCGATCATGATATCCATGGTGATCATCATGGAAGGCTACGAAATCGTCCTGATCGGGTCGCTGTTCGGACAGCCGGCCTTCCAGAAGAAATACGGCAAACCGGCCCCCGACACGCCCACTGGCTACCAGGTTCCTGCTTCGTGGCAGGCTGGTCTCACGGCAGCGTCCAATGTAGGGGCCTTCATTGGCTCCCTTCTAAACGGCTGGTTGAACGATAAGCTCGGGTATCGAAAAGTCTTGATGGGTCTCTTGTCTGGCTATCTGCGGCCGTCTTCTTGCTTTTCTTTGCGCCGTCCATTCAGGTTTTGCTTGCAGGTGAGGTCTTGATCAGCATCCCGTGGGGAGCGTTCGCTACGACGGCTCCGGCATATGCCTCCGAGGTCTGTCCGCTTACGCTGCGCGGCCATCTGACCATCTATGTCGACCTCTTCTGGGCAATCGGCCAGCTGATCGCGGCTGGAGTTCTGGAGGGCGTATCCGGCATGACGACCGAGTGGGCGTACAAGATTCCTTTTGCGGTTCAGTGGGTATGGCCTCTTCCTCTTGCCATAATGATTTGGCTGGCACCAGAGTCTCCGTGGTGGCTCGTCCGTTCTGGGGATCTGGAGCAAGCAGAGCGTTCATCAAGAGACTGTCGTCGGATTCCAACGACAATGCCAGACAGACGGTCGCGATGATGGTCCATACTGTCCAGACGGAGCTCGAAATGGAGTCCGGTGCGAGTTACTTCGACTGCTTCCGAGGAACTGACCTGCGTCGGACCGAGATTGCATGCACGACGTTTGCGGCGCAATGTCTGTGTGAGCAGCTGGGTGGGAATCCGACCTACTTCTTCGAACAAGCCGGAGTAGCGACCTCGCAGTCATTCAAGATGACGGTCGGCAGTCTGGGCCTTGCCTGTGTGGGCGTCTTCGTGTCGTTATGGCTGATTGGTTTTGTTGGACGGCGAATGCTGTATGTCGCCGGTCTGGGGGCCCTATCCGTTCTTCAGATCATCGTAGGCATCGTGTCTGCCTGCTCGAGCTCGATAGCAAGCAACTTTGCCCAGGCTGGACTCATTATGTTCTGGCTCTTCGTTTTCTACATCACCCTGGGGCCTATCTGTTTCCCGATCATCTCCGAGATCTCGTCGACCAGGCTGCGGGCGAAGACGGTCTGTCTGGCAAGAAACAGCTATTATATCGCCTCCAATGTGGCTGGGATCATCACGCCTTACATGCTCAACCCGACTTCAGGGGATCTGAAAGGCAAAACAGCCTTTTTCTGGGGAGGCTCTGCAGCATTGTACTTCCTCTGGGCGTATTTTCGCCTGCCCGAAACGAAGGACCGGACCTACGAGGAACTGGACCTTCTGTTCTCATGGAAAGTGCCTGCTCGCAAGTTTGCTGGACACGATGTGGATGCATACGATTGCACTCGTGAGAGTTGACGTTTAGAATCCGTTCCACTAAGCAGGAATAATGGCAACTCGTGAACACAATGTCATAGTACTCTTCACAAGATTCTCAAGACCACTCAGGCCGCTGTATGATACTTGATAATGTTGAGGATAAACCTACTGTCGGAGGAAGATAAGGCGATTATCTGATTATCTAATCTGACATGACGTCAGGCTAGGACAGTCCGGCTGTTTGCTTTGTTTGTCCTCTCCTATCGTTCGACCATCATTGTTTGGCTGCATCAGGATCTCCTTGCACTGGTCTCGTCGATAATCACAGCAACTGCTGCCAGAGATCCTGCTCTTCTGCTATAGAGGAGAGATTGAAATCCAAAAATGGGCCTAGTGAGTGCGCCAACACTACATAGTGAAAGAAGTTTGTTTTGTTTTGACAGCACAGTCAGCGTAAAGAGAGCAGTCCTCCGAGAGAGGGCAGACGGGAAAGCAAAAGGCTCAAGGGCCAAGCGGCTGAGAGTATGGCCTCCTTTCCTTTTCCTGTTTGTCTCTGCATGTGTGTATGTTCTTACCTAACAGTGCACAGTTATACCCTTGCCGCGGAGAGATGAGAAGGCGGCCGCCAAGAACCAGAACTACCAGCGGCTCTCGAAGAAGCAGCTGATCGAGCAGCTGGGCTTTGAGTCGGAGGATGACTGGCGCGCATGGTTGCAGTCGGATTTGTTCAAGCCGCAC